GGCTGTTACCTCCCACGCTTCCCCATCCAGCCTGGACACCATGCTCTCCCGCCTGCCTCCCAACCTGTTGGGTGGGAACCCCCATGTCCCCCCCATCCAGGCTGGGACACGCTTGTAACACCTATCCAGAGTGGGGGGCAAGAAGGGGGGGGGTCAGCTGGTGCCCGGGCGGGCGTCAGCTGGTGCCAGGGCTGGCGAGGGTGACATGAGCTGATGCCCTCAGCCAGCTGGAGGGGAATTTGGGTGTGAGGGGGTCTGTTGAGGGGGCACTGGGGGTACCCCCCGACTCTTTGTCCCACCTTTTGCACTTTTCTTGCTTTGCACCGAGCTGAGCTCCAATTGTCTCTCCACATTCGGTGATGTGGACGGAGATGGCGGAGGGGGTGCTTTGCACCATGCCTCAGTTTCCCCAGCTGTCAACCAGGCAACCTGCCTGGTTTAGGGTGCTGTATCCCTCCAGTCCCATCCTCTGGTGCAGCTCTCCCTGCACCTCACCTAAACCCCATTTAGTGCCACAATGTTTGACACTTGGGGGGTTTCCTATTGTTCTATTTGTTTTCCCAGTTGAAACAACTCCCGCAGCTCGCAGGGCCGACTGTGCCTTGTGCGGGGACACAGCATGTGGGACACCGAGGTGGGTCAGAGGGGGCAGCTGCCAGCTTCTCTGCTCTCTCATACCGCACTTTTCTCCTGGCTGAATGATCCCCAGGGCTGATGTCTCCCCTGGGCACTGAGAGCCTTTGCTGTCCCACTGGCAGCACCAGCCTCCTGCCAGCAGTCACCGCACAAGGCTGGTCTCCCTCACCCCACTGCAGCAGGAGTCAGGGGGACATGGGGAGAAGCAGGGATGGGGTCAGGAGTCACTCTGCAGGGACATGGGAGCCACGTCCAGCTGAACTCCCTCCATGCTGGATTTCCTGTTGTTTGGCTCAGCAGTGAAAAACAAGAGATCAAAACAAAGCCAAGCCAGGCTGGGAGTCCCTTAGTCTTGCTATTTATTCCAGCATAATTTAATTAAAGCAACAGGAAACATGCTTTCCCACAGCGACTGGACATCTTTAAAAAGAAACAGCACAAATAAAAGCTCCATGGGCCAGGTGAAGGAGGGGACAAGGGCAGCAGAGGCCAGGCTCCATGGCCCGAGGCACCGGGAGGGATCTGCCCCAGGTATCTGGGTACCTGTCCCCTTGCTGAGATGCCTCGCTGAGATGCTGAGTGGCAGCTCTCACGGGGCACTGGGGCATCTGGAGTTTCATCTGAGGTCTCCCAGGACAGGAGCTGCCACCCTGCCCTGCATGTCCCTTGACACTCTGGACAGCATCCCTGGGGTCTGGCCCCTCCACACAGGATTTTAGAAGCCCAGCCCTTGCGCTGGGGCAGGGGTCTGTGCTGCTTCCAGTCTGTGATGGGACTGGAAGGACAGTCACGAACGCAACTGCAGATCTTCGCTTTCCAGTGCTGGCTGGACCTCCGCTGAACGCGTGAAGTGCTGTGGAAAAGAGCACTGGCAAGGCAGGGTGGGCGCAGGAAGAAAGGAAAGGGCTGGAGGAGTATTTCAAATATTTTATTTTAAAAAAATTCCCAGTTAAAAACACAATGGCTGAACCTTTCTGTGAGTAAGAGGCACAGCCCGTGCTCCGGGCCTCGGCACCGCTCCCCGGGTGGCAGCTCAGAGGCCGTGCTCTTGCCAGGAAGGCAATGCGGTGCTGGGCTCCAGCTGGGGAGGGTTCACAGCTCTGAGCAGCCCCTCTCTTAAAAAACATTTAAAACCAGTTGTGAGAATAAACTCTGTGGTGTTAAAAAAGGAAAGAGAAAGGAGCAAGGGAGGCTCTGCCAGCACTGGAAGGCTATGGCTGGAGGACCCACATTCTGCCTGGGGAGAGCCATAGTGCTCGCAGTGCGCAGCAGCTTTTCTTCTTTAAAGAGAAAAAAATCAACCAACCAACAGTAATTTCTTCCAAATTTCCCCCGCGGCCACAAATTTCACCAGCTGCTCACATAAACACACCGTCTTCCCCACGGGAAATGCTCTTGCGGAAACCTGAGCCTTCCTTCTCTGCTAAACAACATGCTTCAGATTCCCTGCAAATAAAAGGAGGCAGAAAAGGATATTTCCACTGATACTTCAGCCTAATGGAGTGGCCTGGCCAGGGGCGCCATCCCTACGCCTGACAGACCGGGCAGCGATACAGGAATCCCATCCGCAGCACAGACCCTGGTCCCCGCTGGCCCCTCACTCCCTTCACAAAGGCTGCTGACCGCCTCCGAGCCAGACTTGAGGAACTACCAAAGAGAGACCCTGCCACCACTTCTGCTATGAGTTTCTCCTGCAGGTTGATCGCTGGTTCAGGATTCATGGGCCAGCACCAGAGCGGTACACGCTCACTCCCTGCTGCCTTGTCCTTCCTCGGGGCTGGATGCGCTGCCAGGAGCACGCAGCATAGATCAGTCCCTCCCAGCTCTGGAGTGATGCTGTTCCTCCTCCCCTCCTGGACAGGTCAGGGGGAATGTCCCCTCCCTAGGATTGGCCTGTGCTTGGGAACGGACATCCCAGGGCATCCATGGTCATCACATCTCCCACCCACCTCCTCCTATTCTGCTTCTAACACCAACACATCACAACATGCACAGAGAGTGAAAAGGGCTGCCGAGCCCTGTCTTGCTGCCCCCAGCTCCTCCTGGGGACAGGGATAAGACAGATGGGCAATGGCATCGAACAAGGCTGGCAAGAGCTGGCAGAGCTCACCCAGCTGCCTGCCCTCAACTGCAACAGCTTTCAGTCTCCTGCCTGACTAGAGGACTGTCCCAGCTCCTGAGGAAATGCATGGAGATCAGGTGGGGAACCATCTTCCTTTGCCCTCAGGCAAGCCCCAGCCCTGCACGCAGCTCTGAGAAGAGCAAGGTGGCTCTGGCTCTGCCCCAAGGGCAGATGGAGGGATGCCAGCGCTGCGGGAGCCAGCGCCAGGGACACTACACAAGCTCCTGCCAAAGGCAGACCTCTCATTAGGGTCTCTCATTAGGCCTGAAATAAAAAAGAATAGCTGGGGCTTTGCAGGACCCTGGGCAAAGCACTTGGCACTTGCTCCAACCCTCAGTTCTGGAGGAGCTAAGTGTGCTGAAGAGAGCCTGCAGGCTGGGCTGGCAGTCCCTGTCCTCTCCCCACCGCCTCTCCACCCACAATTTCCTTTAGACATGGTGGTTCACATCCCAAGCAGATGATAAAGACTTCTCCTGGGTGCCGGAAGACTGGATGCTCCACACTCACGCTAACTGCTCTGCACAGCAGCTGGGGCTGCAGTTGCTGGAGCAGGAGGGGATGGAAAGCCCAGCAGCTGCCAGCACAGCCAAGCAGGCAGCAAAGCAACGCTGGGAGTCAACAGTCAAGAGCAGGAGCCACGGCTCTGCTGCTGTCAGTCTATCCAGCACCCTGCCCTGAGCCCAGCAGGCCTGTTCCCCCAGCGCTGGCAGTGCCACATCCCCCTGTGCAGCCCAGGGTAGGGGCTGCAGTTCTGCCTTGCTCCATCCGTCACTGTTTCACTGCCGAGGGGGATGGACCCTCCTTGCCCCACTCGCTCCTGCTGCCTCCAGCACTGCCCTTGCAAGCACAGTGGAAAACTCACTGCAGGGAAAAACAGTCCTGGAAAGCACTGGGCTCTTGGACCAGTTCTCCATGGCGGCCGGGGAGGGAGGAATACCGTTTCTCCGCTCTCCCCTCTGCCACAGGCATGAGTTTTCCTCTCAGCGGTTGGCATGACACAGGGAATCCTGCTATCCAGCACCCAAGCTTCCTGCTCTATTTCAGCCACACATGATGCTGGCTGGGAAGCCTTTGGGTGCTCACCCACAGGCCTGCATCTGCATGGGAGGCATCCTGGCCACTGCAGGGGAAAATGCAGCATGGCTTGGGACTAGTCGAGCACTGAATGCAGGGCTGACCAAGCTTGGGGTCTCAGACCCCTTCCCGAGCAGCCCATCTGAGGCACAGACCGCACTCATGCCAGCTGGTCCCCAAGCACACATCTGGCTCCTTTGAGAGGTGCCATCAGGGAAGACAAAGATGTCTGGGATCCACCTGTCTCCCTTCCTCCCCTACAAATCCACGGCTACTAAATCCATTTCCTTCCACAAGCACAGAAGGTTTCCTAGACACAAAACACACGTTCCCATCAGATCCAGCACTTGCAGTGGCCGTAGCATTGCAGCTCCTTCAGGAACGTGCTCAGTTCCCAGGGGAAGTGGCTGTGAGCTGGGCTGGAAGTGTCACTCGAGGGTGTGGAGGTGCCATCCAGGCAGAGCACAGTCCGCAGTGCCCTGCTCCCTCTCCCCTCTCTGCTCCCAATGCTCAGGGGTCCTGGTCCTTCTCCTAGGTCTGATGTTGAAGAAAGGACACTGAGGAAGGCATGAATTTCCAAGCCTTCCTGCCCCTGAGCCAGTCTCATGAGGTCTGACAGCAGAAGAGAGGGGTTCTAGTTAAGCTGCAATTGCCTTGGGAGCCCGTAAGTCAAGCATCTGTAGGGAACAGGGTTAACTGCCTCAAGCCCCAGGTAGCACTTTGACAGATGACAGTAAAGAGAAGGACTGGTCTTTTGCGACATGACAAAGAAGGAAACAAAAATCATCATGCATAGGAGAGAAAAGGAGTGGGGGAGCTGTACGTAACAAAGCGCAGCAGTTGCGATCAGGCGGTGCACTGAACGTTCCCAAAAAGTGTTTCAACCCACACTGAAGTCACCCACCTCCAAAGGACAGGCACAGACCGTTTACACCTCCTCCCAGGCAGCGGTCCCTCACACAGGCTTGGGGACAATTGTGTGAATGTGATCCAGGTGAGGCTGGTGCCATGTTACAAGCCCACTTCAGCAAGCATGGAGTCTAACCACTTGCCTTTTACTCATCTCTCTGTAAGGCACTAGAAGACATGGCTGTTTTCTGAGTTGCTTCCACTGAGTTGGAGCACCTGTGCTCTCTTGGGAGCAAAGGATGGGAACTTTGCTCCAGGGCAAAGTGCTGCCTCAGAGAAAAGACTTGTGCCAGAGTTCACTGTGGGCCAGGGATATTTTTGCCTTGCAGGGTTGACTCTCTAACTGACAAGCTCCAACCAAACTTGCATGCAGGAGGAGGATGTGAGCTTAAAGCATAAACATGCAGAACTTGGACTTCTGATGAAACAAATGGTCATTTAAACCAAAGAGGCAGAGGAAGGTAAAATACTCTATGCCAGGCTTGTAACGGGTGATGAGCGTACATGTGGGAAGTGGTAGCTCACCAAGCTGTGGTAATGGGACTGTCAGCAACGGGGAAGCATGTCTAGGAGTCAAAATTGGGCTGGGAACTGGAGAGGCTAGGGAAAAACTAGGCTGGGGAACTGAAAAGCTAGCCATGGTACAGGAGAAGGGCTAAATATGTGAGCTCTCCTCTCCTGAACTCAGACACTGTGGTACGAAAGGGAATGAAAACCATGCATCAGAAGCAGCTGGAACATATCCCCCTGAAAGCATCTGCTTCCCATTCAGCCCTACACAGCCTCCACGTCCTGCTGCATCCAAACATTAACCCCCAGCTCCAGGCAGTCCACTAAGAGATTTCTCTCTTATTGACAGGGTAATCCCAGCCATGGTACCTTCCCTGCATCCAGGCTGAGACTTGGGCTCACGCTCCCAGCTTTTTCTGTCTAGCTGTAATTAGCTGCCCTCCTCTGTAGGAAGCCTGTGTGGGCACATCTGTCTGAGGCTGATGACGCCCACAACCACGTCCAGCAAGCGCTTCATCTCTGAATCATAGAATCACAGAAGGCTTTGGGTTGGGAGGAACCTTTGAAGACCATCTAGTCCAACCCTCCTGCCATGGGCAGGGACACCTTTCACTAGATGAAGTTGCTCAGAGCCCCGTCCAACCTGACCTTGAACACTTCCAGGGATGGGGCATCCACTTCTCTCATCACCCTCATCAAAAAACATGGTTACGTCCAACCTAAACCTACCCTCTTTCAATATAAAACCATTGCCCCTTGTCCTGTTGCTACAGGCCTTGGTAAAAAGTCTCTTTCCATCTTTCTTAGAAGCCCTCTTTATACATTAAAATGCCGCAATAAGGTCTCCCCGCAGAGCCTTCTCTTCACCAGGCTGAACAACCCCAACTCTCTCAGCCTTTCTTCCTAGCAGAGGGGTTCCAGCCCTTGGATCATTTTTGTGGCCTCCTCTGGACCCGCTCCAAGAAGTCCATGTCCTCCTTGTGCTGGGGACCCCAGAGCTGGATGCAGTGCTCCAGGGGGGTCTCACCAGAGTAGAGGGGGAGAATCCCCTCCCTCCACCTGCTGGCCACACTGCTGGTGATGCACCCAGGACATGGTTGGCTTTCTGGGCTGTGAGACCACATTGTCGGCTCATGTCCAGCTTTTCATGCATCAGCATCCCCAAGTCCTTCTCGGCAGGGCTGCTCTCAATCCCTTCATCCCCCAGCCTGTACTGATACGGGGGGTTGCCCCGACCCACGTGCAGGACCTTGCACCTGGCCTTGTGGAACTTCATGAGGTTCACATGGGCCCACTCCTCCCGCTTGTCAAGGTCCCCCTAGATGGCATCCCTTCCTTCAAGCGTATCAACTGCGTGACTCAGCTCAGTGTCATCTGCAAACTTGCTGAGGGTGCACTCAGTCCCACTGTCATGTCATTAATAAAGATATTGAACAGTATCAGTTCCAACTGCAGACCCCTGAGGGACACCACTCGTTACTGATTTCCACTTGGACGTTGAGCTATTGACTGCAATTCTTTGGATGCACTCATCCAGCTGATTCCTTATCCATCTAACACTCCACCCATCAAATCCTTCTCTCTCCAGTTTGGAGAAAAGGATGTTGTGTGGGACCATGTCAAAGGCCTTACAGAAGTCCAGGTAGATGACATCAGTTGCTTTTCCCTTATCCACCAATGCAGTCAACTCCATTGTAGAAGGCCACCAGAGGAGTCAGGCATGATTTGCCTTTTGTGAAGCCATGCTGGCTGTCTCTAATCACCTTCCTGTCATCCATATGCCTTGACAGAGCTTCCAAGAGGATCAGCTCTATGATCTTACTGGGCACAGAGGTGAGGCTGACTGGTTGGTAGTTCCCAGGGTCCTCCTTTTTACCATTTTTAAAAATAGGCATGATGTTTCCCTTTTTCCAGTCACCGGGGACTTCACCTGACTGTCATGACTTCTCAAATATGATGATGATCATATTTTTCAAGTACGACCTCTCATCATGACTGGCTGTTTATTTGCAGTGTCACCAATTCTTTACAAACCTAACCTTACTTTTAAAAAAACTCCTCTTAACAAGGTAACAGAAGCATAACCCAAGCCAGGCGTGTTGTGGCCACCTGTCAGGAAGATTTCAATAAAAACTGACTTTAATTTAGGCTGTCTGTGAGATAAGGTTTAAAGAGTTTGGGCATATGGCTCCTATTAAAGTGGTCCATTCACTAGGACTCATCTTGTGCAGTGTCATCCATGTCCTACAGACCAGACCAGGCTGGCCAGAAGAGTCCATCTCACCCAAGAGTCACTCACTGCCTGCTGCTTTCCCACAAGGCTTCCAGATGTGGCCAGGGAGAGGGTGGGGGCCTCCCAGCTTGTGCTTGCTCTCGCCTGACATCCCTCCTATAAGCCCTTGCCTTCCTCAGCAGGCTTCACGAGCTGGTGCTGGCAGAAGGGATGGACAGAAGTGCCATGGCAGCCTGAAGCCCCCTTCCTTCCCCTGCACTGTCTCCAAGGAGTTGCAGTTCCAAAGCACCGACCACAAGCCACGAACTGAGATCCCAGAGCACCAAGCCATTCCTCATTTTGAGTGCTGCATGGTGGGACAGGACAGAGGAGATGATCATCTGTTCACCAAGCTTCTGTAATGAACCAGACCCTCAGCAGCTCCTTGTCTGCCGTACAATGGATTTCCAGAACAGTGGCTGTCCCCAGGACAACACTCTGCTGAGTTGGCAGCAATATCCTCTTGACTTTGCAGAAGCTCCTTTCTCACAAAATGCTTTCAGCCCTACCAAGAGAGTGGACCCTGCCATCTTTTCTCAATGCCCAGTGCAGATGTGTGCCCACTGCTTTGTACCAACAGGTGTTTGCCAGGCACTGCTGTCATGCCAACCTGCTCCACCACCTCTTGTGTGAAATCTCTGCATGAGATGCTGAAAATCAGTCCCCTGTAAAGATCCAGCTGACTTTAACTGATTTTCTTGCTTCCTTTTTCCAAATCAGTAGGTGTGAAAGTCTCAGCAGCACGCATTTCCAACTTGGCCTAAGGAGTCTCAGTTCTTGGTGTAACGCTGTTATAAGCTAGGTACTCTGGCACTTAAAAATAATGGAATAGAAAATCCTATTTTTCTCCTAAAAGGAGCTGTGACATCTTTTTCGTTTCATCTTTGGGAACTGCAGCAAGTTCTGAGGGCTTATAAAACTGCTGCTGGGTCCAGTTAATCCCAGATGAAGATGTGCTGCTTGTAGAGACAGAACAGACTAAGGCCCTTCAGCTTGGAAAAGAGATGGTGGTGTAAGTGCAACACAGGTCTGTGAAATCACAGACTGGCATTGGGAAGGTAAATAGGAACAAATTACTTGCTGTTTCTCATTTACATGAACAAGATGGCACTCAGTGAGATTACCCAACACCAAGTTTTACACAAAAGAAAGTAGTTTTCCATAAGCCAACCATGACTGTGCACTCACTGCTGTGGACACCCAAAGCCTAAATAAGTCCAGAAAAGGAAGAGGAATTAATGGAGGACAGGTTCCTTGACGGATCTCTAATGTGCATCCAGTAACAATGCCTGGCTTGGGAAGCCCCAAAACCACCAAATCCAAGAAGCTGGGTAAAGATACCAGGAAAAGGATATATAAAACCAACTGCCATGCTTCTCTTAGAAATGCAGATTTACAGACACATTTACTGTACATTTACAGATACACCTACTGAGCCTACCTTCCCATAGTGAGCTACATACCCTCCTGGCTGGTAACCACCCTTGCGTTCAGTGACATTTTAATTAAAAAAATCAAGGAGTTAACACAAGAAGAATGGGTTCTTCAGATATGCGAGCAGTAAGCAGAAGCCCAGGGAAGACATAGGCCCATTGCTAACAAGGGCAGGGAAACCAATTACTAATAATGCTGACAAGACAGAGGTTCTCAATACTTCTCTACCTCTGTCTTTACTGGCATAGCTGGACCCCAGATCACAGGAACATGTACCTACAACAATGCATGCGTCCACCCACCAGCAGGGATGGGTGGTCTGTGCCCTCTTGTGAAGGTTCAACCCACATAAATCTATGTTAAGAGAAGTGGCTGACGTTGTTGCAAGGCCATTGTCTATAATATTTGAAAAGTTGTGGAGATCAGGGGATATCCCTGAATTCTGGAAGAGGGCAACTGTCACACCCATCTACAAGGAGGGTCCAAAAGAGAACCCAGGAAACTACAGGCACATTAGTCTTACTTCAGTCCCTGGGAAAGTCATGGAACAAGTCCTCCTAGAAACTATTACAAATCAAATGAAGCAGGTGACTGGGAAAAGCCAGCATGGATTTACCAAGGGCAAATCAAGCCAGGCCGATCAGGTCATCTTCTACAACAAAATAACATCTTCTGTCGACACGGGGAGAGCAGTGAATGTTGTTTACCTGGATTTCAGCATAGTGTTTGACACATTCCCACAGCCTCCTCCTGGACAAACTGACAAGATACAGATTGGACAGGTGGTCTACAAGGTGGCTAGAGAGGGAACTGGCTCACAGGCAGCACACACAGGGTGGTGATCAATGGTTTTTACTCAGGCTGGCAGCCTGTCACAAGTGGGGTCACCCAGGGATCGATACTGGGCCCTACACTGTGCAACATCTTCGTAAATGATCTGGATGATGGGACTGAAAGCAGCCTCACCAAGTCTGCTGATGATACCAAACTGCGTGCTGAGGTGGACACATCAGAAGGGAGAGCCACCTTACAGAGTCCTGGACAAGCTGGAAGAGTGGCTAACACGAACAGTATGAAGTTTAACAAAGAAAGGGCAAGGTCCTGCACCTGGGACAGAATAACCAAAGAGCCCAGTTCAGGCTAGGATCTGTGCCGCTGGGGAACAGCATTGCTGAAAGGGACCTGGGGGTCCTGGTGGACAGCAAGCTGAACATGATCTAGCAGTACGCCGCTGCAGCAACAAAGGCAAATTGGATCCTAGGCAGTATCTGCAGGGGCATTACTAGCACAAATAGAGATGGGATCATTCCACTCTACTCAGTGCTTGTCAGCTGCACCTGGAGTAGTGTGTCCAATTCTGGTCCCCACAAATTAAGACACATGGACAGACTGCAGAGGGTCCAAAGGAGGGCAATGAAGATGATGATCTGGATGATGGGACTGAAAGCAGCCTCACCAAGTCTGCTGATGATACCAAACTGCGTGCTGAGGTGGACACATCAGAAGGGAGAGCCACCTTACAGAGTCCTGGACAAGCTGGAAGAGTGGCTAACACGAACAGTATGAAGTTTAACAAAGAAAGGGCAAGGTCCTGCACCTGGGACAGAATAACCAAAGAGCCCAGTTCAGGCTAGGATCTGTGCCGCTGGGGAACAGCATTGCTGAAAGGGACCTGGGGGTCCTGGTGGACAGCAAGCTGAACATGATCTAGCAGTACGCCGCTGCAGCAACAAAGGCAAATTGGATCCTAGGCAGTATCTGCAGGGGCATTACTAGCACAAATAGAGATGGGATCATTCCACTCTACTCAGTGCTTGTCAGCTGCACCTGGAGTAGTGTGTCCAATTCTGGTCCCCACAAATTAAGACACATGGACAGACTGCAGAGGGTCCAAAGGAGGGCAATGAAGATGATCAAAGGGCTGGAGAACCTGCCCTGTGAGAAAAGTCTGATGGAGTTGGGTCTCTTCTCCCTGGAGAAGAGAAGGCTCGGTGGGACCTCATCACAGTATTCCAGTACTTGAAGGGCAGCTACAGAGAGGACAGAGGCTTTCTCTTCAGAAGGAGCCACATGGAGAGGACAAGGGGCAATGGGTATGAGTTGCACCAGGAGAGGTTTCACTTTGTTATAAGAAAGGAATTTTTTACAGTGAGAACAGTCAATCACCGGAACAACCTCCCCAGGGAGGTGGTAGAGTCCCCATTACTAGAGGTTTTCAAGACTGGACAGGGTGCAAGATAATCTCATCTAGGCTCAGTTTCCCATGAAAGGATGGACCAGATGATCTTTGAAGTCCCTTACAACCTGGGCTGTTCTATGATTCTAATAAGGACGAGGCCCCATGCTCCTCTGCCCAGCCAGAGGAAAGGCAATGCAACTTTTACTAACAGGGACCCACAGCTCCGAGCTGATGTGCTACTAACACTGAGAATCCCAAGTGAAGCAGGAGACAGATGACGTTGTACATGATGAGCAGTCAAGTGAATGTGGTTCATCTTTCTAGTCAGTGAGAAAGACTCCAACGAGCTTTCCCAAAGTCCTCTACTAAAAAGACCTGTAAGCCTGAAGCAGGAGTGTTGGCTTGGACAACTCACCTTTGATACAGTTAAGAATTTCTTGAATTCTCTGTGGCTCATTGCGGTCTGGTCTGCAGCTCGGTGTGATCTCCAGCACATAATCAGGACCATACTCTGTGAAGAACTGCAGGGAAGAGGAGAGGAGAGTCAGCAGAGAGGTCTCTGTCTGGCTGAGGCTGGAGGGAGGGCTCCCCGTGCGTACCTGTTTGTAAAAAGGCAAAAACATTTTCTCCATCTGAGGGGCACATGTAGCTTAACTACATCAAAGAGGTGCTTCTGCAGTGTCTGTGCCCACCTGAAGTGTGCAACTACTACCAATTCAAGGGTTTGGTAAGCAGAGCTCAGTGGTGCAGCCAAAAGCAGTCTCACATCTATCCCAATGCTTTATCTGGGAAAGCCGTTGACACTCATTTTACACATGGTTATCTGCAAACCTGATTTTTCTATGATCAAAATTCAAGTGCTGCCTATCAGATACCTTTCCTTTTGGCTCCCCACCCCACCTTGCAGAGTGCTGCATTGACATGACGATGAAACACCTGGAAGGAGAAAAATCAGTGTGCTTCAACATTAATAATGTGTCTTTCCTGGCTGAGTGCTCCACTAGTGTGCAGCTGAGCCTGAATGAGAAAATCTGCAGCACATGGGCTCTAAACAATAACGCAGAATCACAAATTATTGCCAGCAGTTTTATTTCACAAGCACACAGCACTGAGCAAAGAAGCAGACACACCAGGGTTAAAAATTCAGCGGTGAAGTTGCAGTCAGTCCTGTTGCTACCCCTGGAGAGTTTCACCCCATGGAGAGCTAGTCCAGACTCAAAGCTATTGTACCAAAGATAGGGAAATTCACAGCATTATAGTCTCCCAAGTGATTAATGATGCTCAGGGATGGGGTTTTCTTTAACGGTGAGGTTGGAGGTGGCAGATCTGGCAACCAAAGACAGACATCTCTGCGCTAACAGAGGCAGTGAGGGCTTCTCCAAATAGACCTCAACATGCCAGCGCTGATGAGGAAAATGAAGTGACTTCTGAATGTTGCAGGTTACAGTCCAGCATTTGAAAGCAAACCTGGAATCGCACTGGGTTTACCAGCCTGTGAATCGCAGTGTTAAGGAGCTGCCCGCTCTGTAAGTACATCAGCTATTCACACAGAATGGGCAAGGCAGCTGGGTCACGGCAGGCAACACACTGCCTGCCAGACTTTTTTGTGGGCCAACACAATATTCCACTGAAAAGGGAGTAAAAGGCAGATTTTGACAGCTGCACCAGCTTATTTGTGCAGTTCTTGGTCACTGTAGACCCAGCCAGCTGATTTAAAAAATGGAAAAATCTTTCCTTTTTAGCGAGTCAGGGTTTTGATCTATGCTTTCAATGCTGTGAGAATGAGATCCCATCTGTCCCCAAACCAACATAGGGCAGCAGGAAGCTGCAGTACATTGTGGCTGCTCTTAGCTCATTGAAAAATTACGACGACTATTCAGATCAGAGATGGACCCAGGGCCAGCCTGAATGGGAGCCCTACCCAGCTGTATCGTGCAGCATGGCAGCACATGCTTACCTAACTAGCAGGCTAGCCCTCTTTCTTCCAAGCTTTTCTGCGGTCAGCCCAAGGACTGATGTATATTTTTGAAGCAGACTATTTTCACAGTTTTCTTAAGTAATCTCCCTTATTGCTAAACATTTTCCTTTCTTCACCTCCGCCCCAAGATTGCTTCGGAAAGCCCCTGCTGAAATACCGACAGGAGAGGAGAACACTGACATTTTTCCTGCTTAGAAGGACTGAAAATGGCTACAGCAGAAGCCGCCAACATGTTTTGGGAAGTCCTCACAGAGAGCTGGTGCCTCTAGTCTGGTTTGAGTTTGCTCTTGTAGTGTGAACAGGAGACAGCTACTCCCAGAGCATCAGGCTCCACTGGCAAGGGCCAGACTCCACAAACCAAGCAAGCTGGTTTATTTTCAGGAAAAAAGGAAATACACATAAAATCTTGACTGCAGCATCCAAGAAAGAGCACATGGAAAATGCAAACCTCTCAGTAACTGGTCTCGGCTGCACAACCTGCTGGTTACACAGGCAGTGGCACAGCGGACTTTGTACTGTGGGCCTAGCACATCCAACCTGGGAAACGAGGCAGGTTTCTGACAAAGGCATCATTTTGCACTTCCTCATCCTCTGATTTCTATGGCATCAAGTGAAACAGAGTACCAACATAGTTTCATGCAACTGTTTTTCAAAGTCTAAGGGCAAAAATAACTGGACTTTTGCAGTGATCTGGTTTATGGCAGATGAGAAGCTTTTGGTATTAAATAACTAATATCCTCTAGAGCAGCTCTATGTGCTGAGCCACCCAGCATGGGTTGCAGAGTGCAGTCACGCAGAAGAGTTTGGGGCCAGCTGGGTTTTACACCATCCACCAGAAAGCAGGTCAGCAGGGCAAGCCTGGTAAATCTTGAACTGGCTTATCCAAGAGCTCTGATGCAGGTGCTCTGAAGCAAACAGCCCCAGCTGTTCAACATGTTTTCCTACCCCCTCTACCACAGGTTCCTGTGCAGGTGGCAGGAGAAAATACGTGTCCAGTCACCCCAGGTCACAGACTGAGACACAAGGGCTGAGACACAAACCGGGAGGGCACAGGGGCAGTGGCAGGAGCCCCTGCCCACTTCTGCTGCCTTGCGCCAGTGGCAGGACAGCCAGGCAGGTAAGGACAGGACCACCTCTCGTTGTCACAGCTAGAGGTGCTTCTTGTCTCTGAGGAAGCACTAACAAAAGAAATTCTTTCAACCACTCATCAATTGACAAAAGCAACAAGCAGCACCTGGGAATCGGCTGAGTTTTGACCCACCACAGGGACCCAGAGAAGCAAATCTACCAAAACAAACCAATAACATCAATTTTCTCTTTGAGGTGGGAGGCTTAGGTCTTAATATTTCCAAAGATAGTACAAAAGAGCCATTTGTACAAGCACCTTGTATCCACTCTCTTGCAGCCTGGAGGGGATTCAAGAGGTGGTTTTCAGTGCTTTAGAAAAGACTCATTCTGTTTCTTCATCTCTCAGAACAAAGAGGATGTTACAAGCAGGCAAGCTCATGCTTCAGCAACAACAAAATGCCTGCACTACTCACTTGTCCATTTATTTGTAGCAGGGGAAAAAAAAAAACCCTGTCATTTTCAGGGATGAAAAAAAGTGTTGAGAACCAAGACTCACAAGGAAAGCTAAAAATCCTCTCCTTAATCAGCAGCTCACCTGGAAGCTCACAACCGCTCCCTTTTAAAACTCAGGCATGCCAAAACTGAGAGAATCACAAATGTCTGATGTGCAATCCTAAAGCCCTGAGCAGGCCAAAAGGAGCTGAAGTTTAAACCAGAGGGAGGCATACCTGAGACTGCATATGTCTTCCCTCCCATCAGCGGGGTGTCCCAGAGAAAGAAGCAGTGCCCAGTGTAGTAGCACGACTGCTGAGTGCTTTGGTGGTCTGAAAGAGGGTGGGAGTAATGGTTCAGGAGATGGGAATGTGGAATGACTGCAGGGAAAGAAGTGTTGCAGGAAGAAAAGAGTAGGCATAGAGGCCAGGAAAAAGGGTGACAAATGGAGAAAGGAAAAGGCAAAGAGGAGAAATGAAAAAAAAAGAAAAAGGCTAAAACAATAATGTTCTTAAAGGGGAAGGATATTTTCTACTGAATAATGCCAGATCTGACAAGAAGTACTATGCCAATAGCAAAAAATTAGGCATCTTATGAAAGTCTAAATTCTGTCCCTGATTTTAGTACAAACAGTTCATTGGTAGACACTGCTGCAGAGGGACCATGACCCACTGCACCATCAGCACTGGATGTTCAAAGAAATTCTATGTTGGTTCTTCCAGACATCCTAAGACTACTTAAGCACCATTACACTGCTGCTCAGTCAAATGCTTTCTGGGTCTCAAGACCACAGTTGTCTTGATTTCTTCTCTACAAACTCATGAACAAAAAAGAACCATCAAAAGACCTCCATGTTTCTGAATATTGACTTTCTTTCATAGTAACTTGATTACAAGACCTGGAGCTGTAAAGAACACCCCCAAACCCCTCAACGCTGGAAGAGAAGCAAAGTGCTGAATATAACTGGGTAGAATTTGGCCCATCATCACCGAAAAAGCATTCCAAACCTGGCTGATGGAGAGAAATACATCGAGAGCAGCACAACCTAGCCACTTCATAGAAAGGTGCTTCAGCAATGATCTGTCCCACGCCACACGCCCTCATGAGTTTCCTTCAGGAGGAGAGCACAGCCCTGGGGTTGTACAGCAGGAAAGCAGTGCTTGGACTGCCTTCAAGTTGCTCACAGTCAGGAATTCTGCACTGATCTCAAAAAGCCAACTGGTCTGACAGCTCAGTTTCCAGGTTTCATGTTGATCAGATTGGGAATTCCTACTTAAAGCAAAGAAAACACGAAATCAGGAAGTACCAACCTTTGTTTCTGTGCACAGGTGCTGATAAGCTATTAAACCATTAGTGGTTCTTTGCCAGAAGCAGCAGAAAAAAACCTGACAATCTGACAAAAAGACATCAGCCCTGTGTGCGCACAAATACATACGTACACATACACAGAAAGCGCATGCTGTTCCCCCTTTAGATTATCTCACAGCTGTGTAAATATTTCATACCCACTAGCCTCCAAACCAATTCTCCTCCTTCATGACTTTGCGCCCCGCCAAACCTGCTTCCACCAGTTTACCTTAAATATGCCAACCCATCCCAACAGCACAACGTAGGCAGCCTGGAGCATCTTGTGGAAAGATTACAGAGGGTAAAAAATACTGATGAGAAGGAGACTAAAAATATGCAAAACCAGTCAGCTGTAGCTTCTCTGGGAGTTTCTCTTAGGAAGCTCTGCAGGAGTAATGCAAGATTAGGACGTCTCATTCTTAATCACAGAGAAACAGACTGCCCCACAAAGTGCTAGCCTGGAACTTGCACTAACAGCAAGGTGAGGAACTACGTTATCTTCGACTAGTTCCACCTAAGGGGAAAAAAAAGCCTTCTCTAAATGCAATGACTGATGGAGTGAGAGAAGGGAACAGAAGAATTCCCATCAAAGTGAAGGGTCACATATTGAATACACAGTAAGACACTCCTTCCCCT